TGTGATGTGCCTTTTAAGGTCCACTAACATATGACTAGATCAGAAAGAGTTACGCCGACATTGGAAAAGTAACATTAGTACTAGCTTCTCCTTCAGAATATACCATTTCTTCAGATCATTTCAAAGAGAAATCAGGAAGAGAAGTCAATGAAATGTGCGAGCCAAGCGAATCCTAAAAATGATCTGTACGAGGAAGAATTTACGCACAATGTAGTTGCAAAATCTGATCTAACGCTACCCCAGGCAATTTCAGAACATTGATGAAGGATACAAAAACAAAATTGGAGCTTTGCCACTATTCCATCAGTAATTGAAGTATGTAGCAATGGCAGAACTGTGTAAACACAGTCATTTTAAAACTGTGATGACAGTCACTGAATATTCCTGGAGTTATAGAATGCCTATTAATGTGTATAGCTGAATAATTTATCAATGTCTTTACAGGTATTCATAAACGCATGTTAAGCCCGGTATCTGGCATGGAATCCAACTAGTGGTTTGCACAAATGATTAAATCGATAGTAACAGGTCAGCCCTTTTTTGCTGGTGAGATAGGAGTCTGTAATTTTCATTATCCTACAAGCAGTTAGAACAGCATAGCATTTTTGCTCAGCTAACTCTTCTAATAAGAGTTCTTCCTTTTTCTATTCAATGCAGTTTTTATTGCACGGTGTGACATCATCCAGAGTGCAATTTGAAAACACGATCTGCCTATTGATGTGAAAGGTAGCTCTAGAATTAGAGAGAAAACACAACATGTATTTTGATGTTTTGTCCTTGACTTACAAGGTTACATGTCATCAATCAGAAAAACACTTGCAGAGGCTCATGAGAGTGCTTTCTGAAGGCGGCAAAACTGATTATACTGATTACAAACCTTGCTACCATAGTAGAAGGCCATAGGTAAAAGGGTACAATGGAGCACAGCGAATAGCAGGATTTGTGTTGCTATATCAAGTATTCTACAGAGTAGACAATTATGAAATTAAATTAACTTCCCTCTGTAGCTCCTACCAATAATCTGATCACCAAGTCCACATAAGTACAGACAGGTGTATACACGAGTGACCTCCTCCACACACGATGGAAGCCACAACAGGTGTACTGCACAAGAACAACGTCAACACTGAGCACCCATCACTGTTTTCTTTTGGGATGAACGAGAGAATGTCTGGACACAGTATCACAGAAGTAACTGCAGGATATCCCATGACACTCATTCAAAGATGAGCTATCAATTCTATTAAATATTTTTAAATAAAAATACTTTATTAGAAAAGATGAGTGGAAAGCCCAACTTTTAAGATGTTTTCATGATCGCATCCTCTTTCCATACTGGATAGAGTGATCTAGAGGTTCTCACCACCCAGTTACGTACCTGTGTTATTTTGTCATGGTGGAGGTTCTAGAGCACTGCTTAACAATAAATAATCTAAAGAAAAACATGATAGTTGTGGCCTTGTAGCTGGCTACAAGAAACTTTTAATAAGTGCACAAGCCTTAAAATTAATCTTTCCCTCACTAATGAATGATGAAAAAAACACATTAGGTTTTTACTGAAGAACTCAACATATGCATTTCCAAGTGTTACAGATCACCCTCCGGATTCTATAATGCTACCTGTCTGTACATGGCATTATAATGAACTCTCACTTTTCACAGACTCCGTAGACAGGAACAGATGTTGGGCACCAGATGAAGATAAACATGCTCATGTAATATATCATGGCGTAGCGTTAATCCAGATCTTTCAAGAGTATCACGGAACACGTGCCAACGTCTCTAATCTGATTCATATACATTAAATAAAATGTTATGTGTGTAGAAATTAGCAGAAATATGGAGAGTGGCAGATAATTACAACCGCTGTGTAGTTAGCATAAAATATCCAATCATCATCATAAATATAATAGCTTATTGGATAAACACAAGTAGTCAGATTGAGTTACTCCAGATCCCATTTAACCAGTGGCGTTTATGAAAAATATACCCAAAAATCCATTAGTATTACTCGAGGGTTATATTAGTCTTTTTATTAATTAAAACTGTAATAAAAGTGATATTCCAATAAGCTGTTTTAACCATCTATGGTGTGATTGTAAAAGGAGATATTAGACTCTAGGTAATGCATATTTGTATATGTTGGACAGCAGAGAAGGCATCTATGGCCTATTCCGAAAACATTAAAGTCCAAGTGTTAAAGGAGCAAAAGTGTCTCTAAAGATCTCTTTATATGGACTAACTCAAAAGTAATGGCATTTGAAAGGCAAACCTCTCAGTCGCACATTTATTAATGTTGATTTCCATTTAAGCTCTCCTAGTTTTAACATCATTATTTTAAATTCTTGTGTGTCAGCTGCCTGGTCCACTGGAGTTCTAGATGCTATACCTGCATATTGTCTCCATTTTGTATGAAATAGGTAAGTGAATGAAGTGTTATGATTGGTTTTCATGGATCAGGTGAGAATTGAGTAATCGAGGGAAAAAAACATTGTAAATGTATATATTATATATTTATTAGATATATAATATATAAATATAGATTTTATTGACACTGCATTCCCCATTTTGCACCTTTTAGTTCATCAAATTAATTTTCCCGAATCTTTGGTCATGAATGGAAACTGCCTGACATGAATCGCAACATGTGCGAAATTCTGCTATCATAAATATTGTCTTATTTTCGGCAGAAATTATTTGGCCGATACAATTCTTCCCCCTTGCACAAGTCTAATATATGACGTAAATGTACTCCGCACTGAATATTCTATTGCCTTACATATTACGGAAATTAGTGAATTTTTTAAAGAATTTTTCAGTTTATTATTATTGTTATTTATGTAATACCACACAAATTCCATATGTAACAATGGCTATATGAAAAATAATCCCATTACAAACAAGTCAAGGTAAATAAAGTCACAATTCATACTGGGCTTGAATAATTTCAGTCTATCAAGTACCCAAGTCAAGGACTTTTGCTTGCGTAAATGGTGACAGTAAAGCAAACTCCCCCACTGAAGCAATACTATATCATTTAAGAAGCTGGAAAGCATTTTACACATATTCATCGATGTTGTGTACGTGTCAAATCATCCTAGAGGATCCGTACGGAAGACATGACATTAAAAGTCACATTTACAAACCTAATTGGTACTGTCTACTGAGTGTTTGACAGGTGCATTGAACAGTTTGAAATATTTCCAGGAGGATATATTTAACACGGTATAGCTAAACACGTGTCTCTAAATCTGATATTCTACTACAATTAAAAATCTGTGTCAAATTTAATTTGTTACGATCATTAAGTCCCATCAGGCTGTTTTTCCTTCTGCTTGTTATTTTTTTTTTCTTTTTTCTTTTTTAGTTTTTTTAAGATTTAATTTTATTATTTTCCTTGTTATATCGTTGAATTATTTCTTTGGCATTCAAATATGATTTTATTCCATTGGTATGTCACAGCCGAAGGTTCTTCGGGACACGCAGAGCAATTAGCATCATGTATGAAATACAGTAACAAGTGGACAACATGTTGGAAACACATTCTTTCTATAGAGTTTTTCCCTCTTTTACCATCAGAATAACTTCCTTTTGGTAGGTTTTCCACCGTGGGAAGGTTTTGATACTATTTCTGATGAATTTCTCTCCTTCGTTATGTTTTTCTTTGATTTGTTTCTGGGTTTTTTTAGTTCTTTTTTTTGCTCTTCCTTTTCTGTTCTATTTTGTTTCTGCTCTGTTGATGATCCCCTAGTGAATGAAGGTGCAAATAGCCTGGAGACATTATACGTTAAACCTCCTCTCTTCTAGTAAACTATTTATAGAGAGACATTCTCTTTGCTCAGGAATCAAATTTTTTTATTTTTTTATCTTTGATATAGATGCCATTTCCATTAAATTGAAAAAATAAAAAATATATAAAAAACATCATTTGGACCATGCTGAGAATTTTTACATAGTTTCCCAACATGTCAAAAATCACTACATGGAACCACTTAAGAGAAGCAAACCAAAGCCAATGAAAGATTATTAATTTTCTTCATCCATATGGATTGAAATTGATTTGCAGGTTACTTGAACGCTTACACAACTTACCTTTGTAAGCAAGTTTCATGAATACAGAAGCAATTTATAAAAAAAAATTATATAGTTTTTTTTCTTATTGTTGTTATTCAGGTAATATTCCCCCTCCCTCTCCCCTGGCAAACCACAATATTAAGCATTTTTTTCCTTGAGGAAAACTACAATAATTTAACAGAAAATATGACAGAACGTACAGAGACCTTGATCAAACTGCCATGACAGAGGATGTTGTAAAGATTTGATATCCAGAAATAGACAAAATAACACCTTATAACATCTATCAAATAAAAAAGGGAAAAGCATCACAAACAGAGTAACAAATATACATATATTGCTACCTCCAGCCGAGAAACAGATGACAACACAGACATAACATACACATCTTCTAACAGAAAGCACGTTCTGTTCTTTATGATATTAGAATGATCTACAAACTAACCAACAGAGTCCCTAATTCACTTTACTAATTCTATGATTAACTGACAGAGTTTAATTGACTGAATATGCAATAGACAATGTTCTCAACAATATGTGGTAACCAACGTGGATTTTGACAAATGGCAGTCATGGGATGCATGGTTAAAGTTATATTATCTTCATAACAAGGGAACACTATAGTTAATACAACCATCACAGCTTAATGTAGTGGTTCTGTTGTCTATACCTTGTACCTGCAGACTGAGCACTGTAAATGTAAAAAAACAAACAAAAAAAAAGTGTTTACATTAGAAACAGAACGTGATGGCAGATAAGAACCATTCGGCCCATCTAGTCTGCCCAATTTTCTAAATACTTTCATTAGTCCCTAGCCTTATCTTAGTTAGGATAGCCTAATGCCTATTCCACGCATGCTTAAACTCCTTTACTAAATTAAACACAATTCAAATTAAAGTGTTTCACCAAAGAACATACAAACACTTGGGCTCGTCCACGATTTGAACCCAGGACCTCTCGCACCCTACGTGAGAACCATACCCCTAGACCAACGAGCCGTTATTATTACCAAGTAACATCTCTAGTGACAGTCACTCAAATGGCCACTAGAGGTGCTTCCTAGTCCACAGTTTAACATGTTTGCATTCCTCACATAAAGTAACGTGTTACTTTAATTCTACTTTGTACTGCAAGATCTCCATTTGAATTTTGCCTAATTTATGGATGTCCCTAAATAAAATTTTACCAGCAAACCCTTTTGCTATGCTAGGTTCAAAACGTTCTCCAACAAACCTTTGGAACTTTTTCAGGTTATCAGAACTGAGTCTTTTCCAAAGTGATCCAATTTTTTATTGTTAATCATATAAAATAATCTCCATGCCTTGTAAATTGTCATAAATGGCCATGCACTCCTCCACTGTGTTGAAGAAAATATTTTATTTAGTGCTTTTACACAACAATGTATCTACTGATCGATGGTCTTTGTCAAACCTCAATTGAAATAGTGCTGTTAAAAGCAAATCATTTTTTTTTCAACCACATTGTAGGCATGTGGGACCATTTCTGCCCTTTATTGACACTTATTGTGAGGCTGGGGTCTCTGCACCTTCCATCATACATGGAAGAAAGTTTGGATGAAACTGTTCATGTCTTGTGCAGTTTGATGAAACTGTTCATGTCTGGAGTTGCACTCCAACCACCGTTTACCCCTTGTACTCCACCTCCATCAAGCAGGGGTTGTACTTATTGGAGCATGATGAGAATTTAATTATTTTCTGTCAGTGATTTAATATAGTAGAACTGAATTATTTTTAGGGAACGATGGGTTCTGCTGGCTGCACTGCCCGGATATTCGGCATTCCGTTTAATATTCTACGGAGTGCAGTTATCAAAATGTGACAACATCTCTGCATTTTATACACAGGAAAACATAGGAAATTAGATTCCTCACTGTTCACACCAACAGATAACTACAGAATTGTTGACCTTTGTGTCTTGCCTGCACAGAATTCAATGAAACGAGGCTGATTTTTGGTGGATATCCCTTGGTCATCACACATGGTATGTTTTAATTAAATGTGTTATATTTGTTGCCATTCCTGAGAATTTCTAGTAGAAAATCAACACACAGGAAAAATTAGCCAAATGGCATTTGGTGAGTCTAGTGTCTTATTAGACATCTAATGCTTAATTGACTCTTCCAGAGAGATAATTACACTTTCTGACTTGTTTATTCATACAATATAAACTGCAATATAGTTACATTTCTCATTTCTGTGACAGCATACTTACATTGCTTATGTAAGGATAGATCTTCTGTTTCCCTACTGAGATCTGAACTTGCTGTCACCTTTTGCCACAAAGACAAGAATGCTTACTTAATAATAATGAAAGCCTCAGAGGCGATAAATCTCTTAATTTGTCAGTATGTGTGGCTCTAAGATATTTCCCTTTTAACCTTTAAGGCTCCAAAATGTGTGTGCCATGCATGCTAAACCTCTGCATTCAAAATAAAATAAAGTTGGGACACAATAGCTCTTCATTAACATTCAAAATGCAATCTATGAAAGATCAGATTTTTGCAATATCTGGAACTTTAAAGGGACAGCTCCACATTGAAATGAATGACTGTGATTTCTCCCAGAGCGAGAATATTAGGCTCTTCATTCTCGGAGGTGAGTTTATTGCTATTATTATAATTATTATTTTATTATTTATATAACGCCAGCAAATTCCATGGCGCTGTACAATGGGTAGACTAACAGAGATGTAGTTGTAACCAGACAAATGGACGCACAGGAACAGAGGTGTTGAGGGCCCTGCTCAATGAGTTCCATGGAAAAGGTGCAGCCTTGGAAAAGTCTTGGAGGCGAGCATCAGAGGTGGGAGTACGGACAGAGGATAGACGTAGGTCTTTGGCAGAGCGCAGGGGCCTCGACGGGACATACTTGTGTATTAGGGAGGATAGGTAGGTTGAAGCAGCATTATGTAGGGACTTGTAAGCAAGCACCAGAATCTTAAATTGGGCTTTGCCGCCGCATTCATTATAGATTGTAGCGGTGCAATCTGGGAACACGTTAGACCACTGAGAAGGGGATTGCAGTAGTCAAGGTGAGAAAGAACAACGGCATGGACCAGCACCTTAGCTGCGTCTGGTGTTTAATAGGGGGGGATGCGAGCTATGTTTTTGAGATGGAAGCAGCAGAATTTGGTGATCGGCTGGACATGCGGGGTGAATACCTAGGCAGCGAGCCATCGAGGTAGAGGTGATGGTGGCACCGTTAACTTGGAGACAGACACAGGAGTAGCAACACTTGAGGGAGAAAAGACCAGAAGTTCTGTTTTGGACAGGTTGAGTTTAAGGAAGTGAGCAGTTATCCAGTTGGAAATAGCAGAGAGGCAGAGTCAAGATGGTCAGAGAGAGATCAGGAGAGGACAGGTAGATTTGTGTGTCATCTGTATATAAATGATAATGGAAGCCAAAGGAGCTGATGAGTTTACCAAGGGAGAACAGTAGGAGACCAAGGACAGAACCTTGGGGAATGCCAACAGAGAGGGGGGTTGGGGAGAAGAGAAAGAAACACTGAAAAAGTGGTGGGAGAGATAGAAGGAGCACCAGGAGAGAGCAGTATCTCATAGACCGAGATTATAGAGAATGAGAAGAAGCTGTTGATGATCAACAGTGTCAATGGCAGCAGAAAGATCAAGGAGAATTAGGATAGAGTAATGGCCATGAGATTTAGCAGTGATTAAATCGTTGGATACTTTGGTCACAGCTGTTTCAACAAAGTGATGAGCGCGGAATCCAGACCGAAGCAGGTCAAGCAGAAAGTTGTTTTCGAGGAAGTCTGTTAATCTCGCATACAAAACTCTCTCAAGGATCTTGGAGGTAAATGGCAGTAGCGATATAGGGCGGTAGGTGAATGGGGAGTTGGGGTCAAGTTTGGGCTTTTTCAGAATCGGCGTTATGGTTGCATGCTTGAAGGGTGAATGAAATGTGCTGGAGGAAAGGGAGAGATTGAAAATTTTTGTGAGAGGAAGAGCAAGAGGAGGAGACAAAGTGCGGATGAGATATGAGGGAATAGGAACGAGGGAACAGGTGATGGGACGGGAGGACCGGAGCAGAGCAGAAACCTCTTTCATTGTAGTAGGTGCGAATGAGCATAGAACAGTGGAGTGTGTGGAGTTGGGTGATGTATTAGAAGATGTATTGGAAGGGGAGGGAGAGAGGTTAGAGATCTCTTTCTTGATTGTAAAAATCTTCTCAGTGAAGTAAGTTGCAAAGTTTAAGGCGGACAGTGTGGAAGGAGGAGGGGGAGCAACAGGGCGAAGGAGAGCATTAAAAGGGTAAATAGCTATTTGGGTTGGCAGGATAGTGTTGAAGTAATTTATTTATCTATCTATTGTGAGCCCATGAGCTTGCAATTAATATTTTAAAAGACAGCATTTTGTAGATAAAATATAAAGACAGAGTTTGTTCTGTATAGGCAGATATTGAATATTGACGATATGTTAAGCTATTTAACTGTTAATCTGTTCATGCTCCACTTTTCAAAATTTCATATCCTGTAGGTATATAAAATAGATAGTTAGGAAAACTCAAATACCATACAAACTACATCACACTGCTCATGCTTCCCCTCAATAAGTACTCTGGTAACTAGTGTAAAGTGTCATGTCAAAGAGTTAAGCCCGTGCTGCTTTAATTATTTGCTTTTATTTGAATAACCATATTGATATTGGTCCCTGAGGAGATCTGCATTAGAGGACAAAACGCATAGGATCCTGTTTACACATAGGATCTGTTTGTATTTTAAATCATCACATATATTTAAAATTTATTTTCATGGTTTAAGTGAAGTCATTTGCTGAGTATCCATGGAGACCAGTATCCAGTGGGAGCCAGTGTTTCTTCCTCCCATTGCTATTAGAGAGGCACCCTGATTTGCCTATATTTACTCCATCTTGTGAGTACAATTCCATCTATGGGGGAGTCTACATAATGGTGTTATGCTATTCTTTTCACATTTTAGGGGTATTCAAAATAACAAAAGTGGTGGAAAAGGGAATAAGCAAAGGGCACAAGAGGGGAAAGGTGGGATGGGTAAAATTACACCAGTGGGAAAGTGGGCAACGGACAGAAGGACACAAGATGAGGAATTAAATCCACTGCAAAATTCTTTGGAATGTGTATATAAAAATGGAAACGTTTTTGAATCAGGAAAATGTCAGCTGGGATAATTAAGCTTTTGCCTAAATATTTAGTTTTGCATGCAAAATTTTGTGAGCCACCGAAAAAAAATGTGGGCATGAGAAAATGCAGGAGAAAAGGTGTCAGCCCGGCCTATAGTATCCCTTTAACAAAAAATAACTCTCAAAACACAGACGTATATGGCAATCTGGACCCAGTGGATTCTGACAAAGACGATGTCCGAACCTTATGGCAATGAATGATAGAGATATGGAGACCCAGGGGGCAAACCCTAGGGACAACTTTTACAGTCACACTTCCAAACACCTCATACAAGACCGAAGCTATAACTAACAGGGAAACCTACAGTGGAGACAGTAAATGCAACACAAATCATAGCCTTATTATAAACAATGTTATCAGGAGCCCGGACAGGTACCAATACAGGACTCCCCCTCTCCACCTTTTTTTCTCCTCCTTTTTCCCTCCCCCTTCATCTCCCCCCTTTTTTACCCCTTTCTTCTCTCCTTCTCGAAGCTTTCCTCCTGGCCTCCCCCATTGGGTCTGGGCCGCAGGACACCCAAGACGGGGGCGCAGACCAATTTTATCCCAATGAGAACTTACCTGCCCTCGAATAACATAACGAATAGCAAGAAGGGATCGACCGGTATGTCCTACTTTGGTCCATTGCAGTATGGAAATATGACCCAAAATCCCAATGCACTTTTAAGGTCTCTGCATAGAGAATTATTCCCTTTTTATTTTTGTATATGTTTTAAACACTGTCTACCTGTTCTAAGAGATTTGCGCATCCCATCTTATTTTCTACTCCCAGGTCAATGTCTTTATAAAATTGATGGTGCCTGC